TGTTTTCTACTAGAGCTTAGAAATAGAAACACAGCATAGTTGATGTTACAAGAATATAACAAGTGTGCCAGAAATATACATCTTAATGCATAGAAGCCTTGAATCACAAGCCACCAAGAAACATATCACAGCAGTTTAAGACATTCCAATTATCTTGTCATAAGCCATGTTTGTTGTTTGAAAATTCATCATTGATCAATAGTCGATACTTAAAACTCATAAACGGAGGGCAAAAAAGAAAGGCTAGACACGGCGAACTTACCATTCACTGCAGCGTTGAGAAGCAGTCTTTTGTGGGGGCAGCTGCTGTTGATGATGATGCTTGTCCATAGAAAAAACAGGAAGAAAAAAGACTTTGGGTGTTTATTTGATGAGATACAGCAAAAGAATGAGGTATTGATAATGTAATAAATCAAGGAGAGAGGGAGAATTTGGCACTACCACAATAAGTTCTCTGCCCATTTTTCACATACACTTGGTGTTCATAGCATTGGATCTCTCTCTCTCTCTCTCTCTCTCTCTCTATCTCTCTCTCTCTCGTGCTGTGTGTGTGGGTCATTATACATCTTTATGAAAATATAAAATCGAAAAAGGAAAAAAGAAAAAACAAAGAAACTTTTTTATACTCAATACTGTGTATATTATATGATAATCCCTGTGGAAGCATCATTTGCCAAAGATTTGTGTCGATTATGTGCGTATATGTGTTTTGTTTCTTCTATTCTATCATAACTCCATGTATCTTGCCCAAATGTTTTTAATACAAGGAAGATTGCGTAGTAGAGCAAAAAGGACAAAGAAAAAGCAAGAAAATAAAATTGAAAATGAAAAAGAAAAGGAGGGAAAAGAAGTCGTTATTCAGACTCAGTTTTTACTCTTTGTCGCCCAAAAATTAATCATAAAATTTTACTTTTACTGTCTACAGCTTTTGGATATTGCGCTCCAGCCTGTGTAGGTGAATATTTGGAGAATGAAAACTTAAAATCAGTTTTATTGAGAGGGGAAATGCTACAATCCGTGGGAAATAGTTCCCTTAAATTAATATTAATATAAGTCACTATGGTGTAAGGAAATGGTTCGTTATGGGACTGTACCATTTTTCTTATTTAGATTTATTGATTAAAGTAAAATAAATTTAATAAAGGTTATTGACTGAACGATTAAGGTAGATTTTGTGTATGTATTAAATAATATTTAAAATATAATGATTAAAATTGATGTATATAAAAGTAGGAGATAAATTATTGAAAATGATATTTAGTTAAAAATATGCGAGTGTGTGAATATTGAATTAAATTGATATGATGTGGGATGATAATTGATTGATATTATTTAATTATATTGATAAAATTAAGAGAGATAAGTTGAAACAAACTTTTAAAAAGTGTAAAAAATTATCCAACCAGTCGAAATTGGTTATAAGTTGGTATAGTATGAACGTATTTTAAAATATACATTGGTGATATTTGTGGTACTACCGAACTGAAAAATATAATGATAATAGTAGTGGTACGATGTCCGTGTAATAAATACACAAAATTTAATTAAAGAAATAATACTTAAAAAATCAAAATAAAATAAAATAAATAAAAAGTTTTTATTAGAAAAATTTTAATTACCTTTTAAAGCTTCTGTTATATATTTAATTTAATTTATATTTATAAGAAGAGATATATTTTTTAGATATGCAATATGGATTTGAATATCAAATAAAAAAGATTAATTTGGTATATTATATATGAAAAATAACAACAAATAAAAAAGTTACTAAATTTTTAAACATATTTATAGTTTAAGTTGATAAAGTATTTTGCAATTTTGAAAATCATGGATAAAAGTCCAAATCTACATAGAGTACTTCAAATCAACATAATTGGGTAGTCGGAATTACGAAGTATCAGAAATTGATACATATGATTATGAAACACAAAAGATGGACCTCGAAAAACTCTGTATTTGTATATAGAGAGGGATATATAAAGTATAAACATACATAAAAAAATATATAATACCAAATATAGAAAAATTAAATGACCATATTCATTAAATTTCAACTTTTCAATAAAACTAGTGCGTGGCCCGTGCGATGCACGGAATAACAATATTAAGATTATATTATAAATTAAATATAAAATAACATTAATCATGATTTATTCATTGTTTTTAAATTAAACCGTGTTGGACACAGTCCGACCGGATGGACTGAGAACCGATTTATAACCAGTCTAGTTTGCTTGAATAAAATATTTGCTCTCAAATCCGTCAACACCAGTCGGTTGGACTGGTAGGATCGATACGATTTTCTAAATAAATTTTGTTATATTAAAATTATTTTAAATAAAACTACATATTTAAATAAAATAGAGATTTTTAAATTATTTATTAATTTGTTTAAACACGTGAATTTATAAATTGTTTAAATATCTAAGTAACACATTTTATTTAAATTTATTACAAAAAATACTATATATATATATAGTATTTTCTTATTTTCTTTAAATATATTTAATTTTCTTATTGATCCGAAGAAATTTTCTTATTTTCTTTAAATATATTTAATTTTATGAAATAAAAATATATTACGATTCATATAATAAATGTCTACACCAAATGATAGTATATTAAGATTATAAATTATATATCTAAAGATGAATTAATTATTTTTACTTATGCATATTATAAAAAATAAGCATAGTAATTTTTAAAAAATTAAGATTAATTGATTATGCAATTTAAAGAATATTTTTAGCGTTCAATTTTTTTTTTAAAGGCACAAATATAAAGACCGAGATTCTAAAACTTTTGTTATATTTTGAATTAAGATTTTATAAATAAGAGACCGAGATTTTAATATTGTTCGTTGTTTCTAAAAAAAAAATAAAAATAAAAACATACACACTTAATAAATAGTAGCCGGATTTTTTAAATAATAAAATGAATTAAAGTTTGAAATTTAAGGTAACATTTAATACTGTATAATTTTTATATATATAAATAAAAATTTATATATATATATATATATAGATAATAATAAATCACCTCAGATACCAATTTAAATTTTAAGTTTTTAAGATAATAACTTCTTTTTTTTTTTTATTTTGTTATTTGTTGACCATTTTGGACTGATTTTTTTTCGATAATTAAGGTATAATCTCGATATTACCTTAAATTCTATATTCTGTATGTAACTGTGTTGGACCAATAGTTGATATCACTACAAGAAATATTTTTTTCGATGATTAAGGTATGTTGGTGATCCCATTTGTTCATAAGTTTTCTTGGTATTTTGTCAATTTCTTGTACTGTATATCTGGTATTACCTGCTATATTATGGTATGAAATTTTAAACACTACATTATTATCGCCTCTATATATAATTTTCAAATAGGCTAAGTCTAAGTGAGACTCGTGTGCTTCGTAAGTTCGAAATTAAAAATCATATAAATTTAAAATACATGAAAAATTAATAAATGTGAGACACTGACTCTATAAATATAAAATACAATCACAATATAATAAAACTTGCTTTGTTTAAAAAAATAAATCAAATATATGTCAGCTTTATACATATATAATTTTAAAAATATAATTAGAAAATATACTTTTCGACAAATTTAGTGTAAAAAAATGGGCACTATTTGATTAATTATTATTTTTGTTAGTTATTTATTATTGTTGCATATTCATCATAATTTTACAATAAAAATATAAATTATTTTAATTTTTATTGTACAAAGTTACTAGTGTAATCTATTTACACCTAAAAAGTGAAACTAAAATGTGAGACAACTTTAGATAAAATGGCAGCTTAAACATTTTCAATACACTGACGATATTACAGAATATTATATAGTTAGTTAATGCAACTGCATTACATACATATTCTGAAATGAGATACGTTTTCTGTGGATATATAGATTTTGGTCAGTTTAATAAAATAACTACTCTTTCTTTTCCTTTTCTTTACTAGCAATCTGAAGGAATTTAAGAATACTTCTCCAAGACTTGAAAAGTCTTATTATTAGTGATACTGATAGCATAATATTTAGAAGTTGGCGTAAATCTATATCTATATATATCTATATAATAAAAATTAACATTTACTAAAAATAGTAACTAAAAATTTAGGAAACATTTTAATGTCTACTATTTTTGGGAACTTTTTAAATATATACATTAATTGCTTCCATATACACATTTTCAAATAAGATCAAATAAAATATGATAAGAAAATTACTTAAATAAATTTATTAATGTCTTCAATATTTTCATTAATATTTATTCTAATAAATTACAAGATTGATTTTTTCGTGATTCATGTTGATAATAATTTGGTCAAGATAAATATTATTTTATTAATATTTGTAATACTTTCATTGATATTCATTATAATAAATTACAAAATTGATTTCCATGATCCATGTTGATAATATTTTGGTCAAGATAAATATTACACCAATGTTAAGTTCAAACCATAATATTAATTTGTTTTCACAAATATTCACTTTTTATTCAAAAATATTTATGTAAAATCGTAACAGGTTAGGTAATTTATTTTTTTAAAGTAATCAGACAAAATCAAGTTGGTGAATTAATCTTTGCCAATAAATTTTTTTCTTAAGCTTTATTTTGTTAAATATAAAAAATAAATTGTTCTCCAAATTAATATAATTTACCATTTAAGAGATAATGACTAGATACATTAAATAGTTTTACTAATGGTAAAAAAAATAAATTTGAAATATATTAAGTATTTTTTAGAATTTATTTGTATATTATTGGCACCCATGATTATTTATTTTATAATTAAATTCTTGTAAAATATATTTTCATTGCAGAGTATGCTAAATAAACTATAAATCCTTATAATGCGAATTAGAAAAATCTTGATCATAGAAGAGATTGAGTTTTTGGCATTTCCTAATTAGTATACAAAATTAAATTCTAAAAAAACATGTTTATATTTTGTAAAATATTTATACACTATTTAATTTTAAATTTATTTTTACATATTTTAAATTGATTACATAAATAAATAATACTAATGTACATTAAATATTTTTCATTACATAAATAAAATGAAAAGAAAAATAAGACGTACAACTTCTATAACTTTCTAAATAATAATGACAATATATGACAAAAATGTTTATAATAAAATAATAATTGAGTATTATATAGTGAACAAGAATAAGTAAAATGTTATTCTCTCTTATATCAAGGAATATATATATATATATATATATATATTAAAATCAAATTTATATTATTATAAATGTGTTAGTGAGATAGTATATTAATTATTTTACAAGCTAACCCTAACATGCTCATATTTAATGTTTTGACTAAAAAACAATGCATGCAAAATAGATTGTAACCTTATTGTTTACTACACTTAACGCTGATTAAAAGAGGTAAAAAATAGATGATAACCCTATCGCTTTATATACTTAAACGGACAAAACCTGTGAAAATAATTCATTTAATATTTCTGTCTCGCGCATCGCACGAGATACGTACTAATTACGTGTGAACATAATTATAATTATATGACAACATTTAGTCAATCTTGTGTGCCAAGCCTCAAGTAAAACAATGACACCAAGAAAATTGTGGTCACGTTTAATTATGAAGAATTCCGTGTTAATAATGACATGAAGAGAATTAATACAACTAGTACGTAACCCGTGCGATGTACGAGCTGTATTTATTTTGGAAAATATTATAATTTGAAGTGTATTAATAAATAAAATAGTGATATTACGTAGGTATATTGTCAAATCATAAAATATTCATCATGAAAAAATAATATATTATTAAGAACCTCATTGTACACTATTATTAAGAACCTCATTGTACACTATTTAAGTCAATCTTTCGCCACATATCCGCTAAGTTTTGGAAATTTTTAGATTCATATTTGATTACAAAAAGCTCTTTAGATTTTAAATATATATAAAGATATGTTGGAGATTGGATTCATACATGTTTAAAAAAAAAAAAAAAAGTTACATATTCAATTTTGAATTTATTTGAGATATGTTGTGTCTAGAATCTCATACTTTAATTATCTATTAGTTAGGAATATATTCAAGTTCAATTATAAACATGTATGAAGATCCCAAGTACCATGGCACCATCCTTATGAGTGATATTTAAAAATAGGGATAAAAAACTTTTTCCCATCCGAACTACCACGATTTTGACGTTTTACCATACAAACTCTTTTTTTTTGGCAAACCACCATATTAACTACTCGTTTTTTTCATTTTGCCCTCCAAAACCGTATTTAAAGTTGTTTTGTAGGAAAAAAGCTGATTTAGAAGGATATTTTGGGAATTGCAAATTTTTAAAATATTACAAAAGTACCTAAAGGACCAAATCATAATTTATAGACTTTTCAAATATAACAAATTAGCCCCTGTTCTTTGTCAAATTCTCACCTATTAACTTATTTTTATTCATTTTCATTTTTTAATTTAAAAAAAAAAGATTCAATAAAATCCAGCCTCTTGAATCCGCCCGTCAACACCACTGCCAAACCCTCCCTGCCACACCTCATCCCTAAAAATCTCCTCAGGAGGTCGACAAAAACCCTAGCCGCCGCCCCATCCGAGCCCTCCAGCACAATTGTAAGCTGCAGCTCTCCGACGAGACCCCCCCGCGTCGAGTTCATCACCTCCGGCAAAGGCGGCAAGACCAGCACCACTGCCCAAATTGGCCTCTCCCTCGCGCGCCTCGGCTTCTTTGTCGTCGCCATTGACGCAGACATCGGCCACCGCAACCTCGACCTCCTCCTTAGCCTCGAGAACCGCGTCAAATAGATCCTCAATGGCGATGAGCCAAGGCTTGGAGAAGAAGAAGTTGGATCAGGAGGATTGGGGTTTTTCTTCTTCGATTTCCCCAATTTCGACTCGACGACGCGACGGCGGTGACAGATTTGTTCAGCCGAACAATCTGTGCTCGAGGTATTTCTCGTCGGGCCTGAAATCAGAATTCTTGAGGACACCGGAGTGCAGGAGGCTAGTTAGACAGAGAAGGGTGCAGGTGTTCTTGATTCATTTGATTTTCTTAATTTTTTTACTCGAAATATTATACAAGGGGAAAAAGATGTCTGTTCCCAATGGCTGTCTAATTTCCTGGTGAAGGCCCTCGAAGAAACTTTTATGGGAACATAAGATTCAGGAGATAATGAAACAAATTGGCGCTCAGCTTCATCCCTCAAAGTAACAGATTGTAATGTTGCAGATAAGAAGGCAGTCTAGATAGTTCCAGTTACAAATTATCACATTAAATAATTTTTTTATTTTTTATTTTTTTAAATATATCAAATTCCTAAAATACCCTCAAAAAACTGGTTTCAATGAGGTGAAACTGGGCTTAAACCTGGTATAGGGAGAAATTTAACAAACTCACATAGTTGAGGTAGTGGTTTGCCAAAAAAAAAAAAAGTTTATAGGGTAAAGCGCCAAAATCGTGATAGTTCGGATGGGAAAAAGTTTTTTTCCCTTAAAAATAACAACTGATTGGACATAAGTTGTCAGGAGGACACCAAAAAATAGAACACGAATTGATCATATTAGACATTAACATGGTTGATCATAAATTGTCAGGAGGACACTAAAAACAGAATACGAATTGATCATAAAAGACATTAACATGGTTGATCGTCGGCGTGGCTCGATGGACTCAGATTCCCTTTCACATTATCAACCAACAGTGCCATCACCAGTACCCAAGTAGATGTGAATCTATATGGCAATGGATTAACCGAACTCTTGCATCTAACCAAGAATTAAGAAAAAAAAGTGTTCGAGTCGAGAAAATAATTATATATAACATGCTATGAAAATAAAAGATTATATACTCGTCACCTGAACTATTTCCACGAAATGTATCATCGCCCATCAGCCAATTGGGACGTCAATCGTGTTACCGATGAGGGCACTCCAGATTGAAATTGTCTCACGAAAAAATAAATAAAAAAGTCGACAATGAAGATCGCCATGTCTAGGCAGAAATTATTAAGATACTCTTAAATGGTTATAGTTTATACAAAAAATATATAAATTGAAAAATCGATCGAGAAACTGCAGTGAAGCTTCTATACATGTTTCCTAGTTCGGTGGAAAGAAATCATATGAAACTAAATGATATAAATCGTAATCAAACAATAACCACGGAGGGACAATTTTTACAATTTTAAAAAAAATTGATAACTAAAGCAGTAAAATTTTCACCTACCTAGTAATCGAAGAGAAAGAAGAAATTAAAAGCTACGTAAAAGATAATAAAGAAAGGAACCAATTCAAAATAATATGTGCTTATTTCGTAAGAATAAGGAGACAAATTAACCAAATTTGAGTTTGATTCAAAAGACCAAAATCGCACCGACATGTAAAGGGATTTCGTTGTCAGATTCAGAAGGCCCAAAGCGCACCAATTTGTTCTACAATTGAGATCTTCCAACATACTTCAATGGTTGTTTTGACCCGTATGAATTTAGTCTAGACACAAATACAACAAAAAATGGAGATTCAGAATATGAAGTAGAAGAAAAGTTTTTTCTTGAGGACCTTTTTTTTTTCACCGGCTTATCTAACGGGCACATGGAAAATCCCATCATGCAAACAAAGACTTTTTACCAGCTCCGATTATTTATTTTCCAGTAGGGTAGCGCTTGACACAGCTCAACAACCCAAATCCCCAACAACAAACCCAAAAATAAATAAATAAATAAATAAAAAGCAAAAGACAAAAATCTCCTAAAATTAAAATAAATCTCACCAAATTAGCAAACGGACGTCCCCCACCATTGTCGTCTCCCTCCTCCTATTCATCCCCTCCGCCGTTGGATCCGCTGTTTCCACGGACCTCCGAACGAAAAAAATCTCAAGATATGGACCTGAATTGAAGCATAAACTCGGGACTTTCATCTCCAATGAAGCCAAATTCTGCCATCACGGAACCGAATATCTCGACACTGATCTTCAGGGACATGTCGGACGGGCGACAGAGTTCTTTCAGACTGTAGCTAAACATAAACAGCGAGCAAGAACCTAGCCCGACTTCGAAGTTGATGGAGAGCTTGTTGGGATCGCCGCCGGCTATCTTGGTGAAGAAGAAGGAGAATTATTGATGAATTGGAGTTTAGATTCTTTCAAGATGTGGGATTTTTTCTCAAGCGAATCGAAGCGAAAGATCGTCGAAGGAGAATGGTGATTTTGGACGAATTGGGTTTTCTGGTTCTTTCACGATATGAGATTTTTTCTCGAGCTAATAAGCAAAATTTAATGGAGTGAGTGGAGCACTATACGGGATTTTCTGGAGCGAAACATGTAGATATTTTAAGTAATTTGTCTTTTTTGAATGAATAAATCCCTACATATAAGGATTTTGTTTCGTCAAACATGAGAAGTGCAAGTCCAACATAATTTCTTCTTGAATCTCCATACAAGTCTATTGATCATAAGTAATTACATATTTCCAAAATGGATTTGTCAAACACGTGAGCATTCAAAATTTAAAATTCCAATTGGATTTCCATTTGGGGTAAGTCAAAGTTTTGACTCAATTATTTTAAGTTTCTAAAAAAGAATTTAACATCAACCTTTTTAGATATATATAGATTCGATTTATAATTTTGAAAGAAAAACAAATTATTTTATAAGCTATTTCCGAACCACATTCCAACTACTTTTTCAACTTCTTGTTCACTCGGGCATAATATTTTCGCTTACATTTCATCTAACTTCCATTAAAATATTAGTCCCTGTTATTATTTCGAAAATACTCTTTTACTCATTTTGGTTCAGAAATCATAGTACCACTACTGCAATGAATATCATTGTAGCCGAGTCCTGACCACGAGCAGTAGCCGCGTGCGCCATACCGAGGGCGCCGTCGGAGAGCAGCGACTTGGGACCACTGTCGCGTTCGGGCAACACTGAGGATAGCCAAAATCCACATGAGAAGTCGCACCTCGCTGTGAGACGCGGGAACATCAAATGGAACCCCGTCCGCGAGCACATCACAGTCGCAGCCACACAGTGGTCGAGACAGGCCGTCCAAGGTCTGCCTGTGCATCGGCGATTGCTAGCTATCGAGGCCGCACGCGAACAACCAAGGATCCACGCGTGCATGCCGCGACCGAGGCCTCTAAGCCAGATCCGATCTCTCACTGGCTTGTAGGTTCCTGAAGAGAGATTATTCTCGAAAATCCTCTTTTACTTCGTGTAAATAAGATCCTTTTTAATGTGAAGTTTTGGATCTTCAAATAGGGAAAAATATGTGAAATATAGTGGACATGGGAACTCCTTATGTGCCATGTATTTAGCCTCAATTTTTTTGTATTGTTGTGTTGCACTTGAGCCTTGGAAAATTTTGTGAAAAAACCCTTGATATTGTTGAGCCTTGGACAACTGTTGGAACGTTGAACCCAAAAGCCGAACCCTAGCTGGGAACAGCTCCGCGAGTGGCTAGGTCCGTGCGCCGTGCCGTGAGACGCGAGGTCACGCGTGCAGCTGACAGTGATGGGGCGACGCTGCAGTGAGGTTGCCGCGCGCAGGGTGCAGAGTACATGCCACGCCATGTCTGCTGGAAGCCTTCGGGTCACTGGCAGATCGCGCGCGCTTCGTCGCGTGCCACGCAGCAGGCCCCATCGCCAGCGCTGCCGAGAGACGAAGGTTGCTTCAGCCGACAATCGATCCACGCGCGAGCAGCAGTCGCCATCGCCGCAAGCGAACTAGCTTCCTAGACCTGTGCGACCAGACCTCGACCCTTCAGCCTGTCCCCGAGCAGGTGTGTGCGCGCGTCCCAGCGCCCCGCGTCCAGCAGTTCCAGCGTGGTCAAACTGGTAGTTCAATTCTTTATATTGAACCAAACTGGTTCAAGGCCCGTGGTCAACGTTTGATCGGGTCCAAAACAGTTGACTTCCAAGCAAGGTAGAGTCGGTTGACGGTTCGGGCCGAACCATGGTCATATCTATAGTCTAGTACTGTAAAATGTCATACTTAATTTATAGTTTTAAAAATATCAATGGCAGATCTACATAAGTACATATGGTCCAGCATAGGCTGAATTTTTTGTGCTAACTATACTATTCATATAGTAAATATGTGTTAATTAAAAATTTATATTTAATATTTATAAAGATATAAACACAAGTTTTTAATTTAAAATTTTAAATAATTCTTACCAAATAACATTATTATGTTAATTTAAAATATATACATCACTTGTCAGTTTCGACGTTATTATGTTACAATATTTTTAGTACTTAGACCATATAATAAGCTTGATAGATAAATTTATTGTTTTTCAATATGATAATATTAAGTTATTATTGATAGAGATTAAATAGATATATTTATTTTAATTTATATATACAATATGAATGTCAAATTATAGATATATTGTCAAAATATGACCAATTTAATTTATCATATATAGAAAATGGTAACATACATGAGTGTTAATAACTTTTAAAATATATTTACAATTTAAGTTAGTCAATTGTTTAAAATTGAAAGCTCTGAATTAAGATCAATATTTATATGGATTATCTCGAATACTAAGAAATTAACATATAGAATTACAAAGCGGTGGAGGTTGATCGTGACAAACTCTATATTTATATATAAAAAGATAATCAATAAGGGCGTGATTGTTTATAATTTGTACGGTAAATATCCCACTCAAAACTCAACTTTAACTCAACTCCACTATCTCCAATATTATCAATATCTATATATATATAAAGAGGGAGTTGATGGAATTTATTGCTAAATAAAGATGATATGCAATGACTATAATTGGCAACATTTCTACATTTGGTTGTATAATTGTAAGTTTAATTATTTTTGCATTTGTCAATAATACTTTAGATCCGTGTTTATATTTGCACTTTCTATTAACTTAACTAAATTAGTATCCAATTAATAATTCAAATTAATATGGAATCTACATTAATATTTATGCGACTTACTATTCAGCTACCTTTGAAGTTCCTAAAAGTTATATTGATCGAGAATTTTAAGTAAAAAATCTATATAAAAATAATAATAAATTTCTGTTTCAATTTTTCTAAAAATAAAAAATCAATTTTAAGTATGAGAATCATTCTGATATTTATAATGCATAAAAATATATATTTAATAATACATAAAAATATATATACCACCAATTAAGATAATGACACCCAATGATACCATAAATATACGAACCTATAATTTACCATAAATCTACATATATATCTATGTCTATACCTATATCTATATAATGGACCAATCTTTATTGCCATAATTGACATGATTTTGGGCGAGAAATTTTTTCATCTATATTTGTCATTTAATTAATATTTATTTATTAGCAAATCATATGCATAAAAAAATAATTAATTTTTATACACTCAATGAGACAATGACTATTACTCATTAACTACAAATTGACTTAAATTGAAATTTTGACTGTAAATTTATTAGATATATTTTAAGTAAGATCTTCTATTAATTTAATAGTAATTTATTAGTATAATTCAAAAAACTATTATGAAATTGATTTGATTAAATATATTATCATCTATGGCAGTAGGTATTAATTTAATTAATTATACTCACTATCAAAAGTCCTTAAAATATTTAATAAAATAAGTAGAATAACTATGTTTAAATCATAATAACTTAATAAATAATCTAAAATATTAATAAAAGTTTCAAATATGTAGTCAATTTAACTATAAAAATGTACATCCCCATTGAATATATCACATGCAGTAATAATAGTATTGAAAATTTAAATAATACTAATAAAAATAAAATTTGATGGTCAGGTGCAATTCAAAATTATAAATTCCACCTTAGAAGTACCTATGTACATTAAAAATTATCCAATTTTTAAAAATATTTATTTTTTTTCTTATATACTATTTTATAAATGAAAAATAAGTTAATAACAAAGGAATGTATAAAAATTTAGATTATAGCACTTGGTAATCATGAAAATATATAATATATTAAAATATTCGAATAGATACTATGTAACTCATTATATAGGTTGAAAAAATGAATTAAAGAAATAAATATAAATAAAAATAGAAACATAAAAATAAAATATTTAACCATAAAAAAATTGTGTGTTGCATAAGGATTAAAGTCAGTAAAAATTAAATTTGTTTATCAAAGTTTTTAACATTTAATGCACTTAATAATTCTAGCGGAAGATAAATATTATGGGTTAAACGTTGGTCAATTATCAAGCAATGTGCAAATTATGAATTGTTAAAAAAATTATAAGACTATAATAAACGACAATTTTATTAGTCCATACAAATAATTTGTATGCACATATCATATGATCTTATACATTTATAATATTTTATAAACTTATAAATAATAAAATTTATATATTAAATAGTAAAAAACTACAAAAAAAAAATATACAAAAATAGAAATTAACAATAATAATAAATAAATAAATGTCATATTATTACCGAATAGAATATTGTGGAGAATATAATTTCATATTATCTTAAATAATTTTATAATATTTCAATAATAAATATTTTTTGTATTGCACCCCGTGCATCGCACGGGTATCAACACTAGTAATTAAATAATATCACACAATCATTATTACACATCACATCAACTTTAATTCACTGTTCACCCACTCACATAATTTTAACTAACCACCACTTCCAATCATTTTCTCCTACTTTTACATCAAATCAACTTTAATTATTTTAATTTAAATATTATTTTAATATATCCACTAACAACTAACCATACTACTTTTTTTTCAAACTTAACTATAGTTCAAAATAAACTAGTTTTTTACTAGTTGAATTCATATCCAATCACCCCTAAAGGAACTCTTTATAAAATAATATGAACAAAAATGATGACATTTAGGCATTTCTCAAATTACTAAAATATATTTCAAAATGACTTGTTTATAACTTATTACAAAAAAAAATGTAAAATATTTTTGGTATGTTTCTTAATAATAATAAAAACGGCAAAATAAAATAACCAAATCTCATTCTTAATTTTATTTTTTAGCATCAAGTTAAAGGACAATTAATTAGAAAAGCTCTCAATTCCCGAATCCTCAAATGATTTGTTTAATTCTTAATATAAGTACTTTGTGCAATGGGGTTAAAAAAAAATTTAACTATTTTTGCTCTGGCTCATGAAAATTTCCGGATCCTGTCGCTGAAAACTATAGTATATTAATGTAAGAGTGTACAATCGATTATCAATGTGAACATTTTAAATATGAAGTCTTTTACTCTTTATCGGGCACAAAAATTGCGTGCTTTGCTTATGATGAGAAAAATGGCATTAAAACTTCGAAAAGAGTCTAAAAAAGAAAATGTGAAAAGGAAGCAAACTCGTGTAGAAAAGTGAAAGTGGTCGTATTGAGAATTGTAATAAATAATGATAATTTCGTGGGACAAAATATAATGTATTAAAGAAAATGTCAACCAATGTTCCAACACTTAATTATTATCAAACTAATGATTAATAATCATTTTGATTTGGCCCACCACCACCTCTTATATCACTCCTTGGTCTCCTTTTATTATTTATTTATTTTTCATATTATGAAACAAAATAAAATCTCATGCTTAGCAAATGTGCCCGTTTATAGGACCTTATTTCATACTGTATGAATTGAAAAGTAAAGAAAGTAATAAAAAAGGGGAGAAATATGTGATAGTAATCGGTAACGGAGCCAACCACACCAGCACGGTTTAATATGATTGATTAGTCAAAAAACGTGTACTTGTTTGCGATTTTGCAAGTTTAACCTGTCTCACTTATGCATTTTAGATCTTTTATATTATATTAAATAATCAATTCTCGTATTTTGATATGAAGTTCTGAAACGTTTGTTGGGAAATTATTCTCGTCCTTGATTATGTGTGGGGCATCGACGTGGGATAGTCGCAACTTGCAGCCAACGTATAGGGCTGCCTCATGCCGGCCCAATATTGCCCCATGAAAAGAGACCACAATTTGGCCCAGAATTTTTTTTGCTTGAACAGCTGGCCCGAAATTGTCTTTAGAAGGGATACATAAATAATAGCGAATTACTCTTTATTGCAAGATTACAAATGAGAGTAATTTAATTTAAAACATACTAAATGCATACAATTAATTTGTGATCCCCACTTTATTATACATAATTCCCGAATGCGCTGAGCCTACGTGGCTGTTTCTGGTGCTTCGGAATCCTACTTGGCGAAGAATCGTGCTTCGTAATTTGGTTTGTACAAATAATATTGATATTATAAATTAATAATTTTAGGTTCGGATATTCCATAAATATTATTAAATTAACTTAAGTAATTTCATAGCACTTATACTAATATGACCCTTTATTATTTATAATCTTACGTAGTGTGGCACTAAGTGACTAATATATCCCTCACTTTTGATTTGCTTCATTCAATCAGCTATTGATTTTTTCCATTTGAATTATATAGAAAAAGAAACGCACATAGCTCCGCCATTCAAAGCACCATCAATAGTTACTGATCTTTTATAACAAACAAGACACCATCCTCCGCCCAAATCTTATACACTCAATTTCTGTCCAATTTTTTGCGGAATCGCGCCCAACAACTCCGGCCTATTCCAATGGTGAAATTCACGAAATTAGACGGGGATCTATTGATCCTTGAACTCTTAAAAATTTCCTTCAACTCTTAAAATTCTATTTTTATTGTTCAACAATGAACTCCGTATTTTATTCTTTTGCATTTAGGTCCTTGCAGAATAACCGTTTTTCTGGGCAAATCCCATCAGTCATTGGCCTGATGCAGGCACTTGCTGTGTTGTAAGTTCTTTATTTTGATTATTTTTGTTGCTTTATGGCTTGAGTTCTTAACACTTGGGTCTCAAATTCATTGCATGTTGTATAAATCTTAAATTTGCAGAGATCTAAGCTTCAACATTTTGAGTGGCACAATCCCACCAATTCTTGAAAATTTGACTTACACAGAGAAACTGTAAGTATTGGAAGTTTGCTTCTTTAAGGACAAGTAGTTAAAGTCTGTGTAAGATTATTAGTTGAACTGTACCCCTGTATTTCTTTAACAATATGAAATCAAATGTGTATTAGTTCCATGTGCATGTTGTGAAATTATGAAATCATTAATTCAAAAACTATTGTATTTCATTTGACTAATATGTGAAATGAACCATAGTTAATATTCTACTAGTACAGAGCCCGTGCGATGCACGGAGTGCATAATTTTAGGGCTATTTATCCAGGCTTATAATTATATACATGAATAAAGAAAAATGTACGGGATATATATAGTACGTGACCCATGCAAAGCACGAGATATATTTATTTGGAGAATATTATATTATAAGATGCAATATTCAATAAAAGTTTATAATACGCAAGAAAATTGTACAATGTTCAATAAAAGTTTTATAATATTCAAGTGGAGTCTTAAAGTCTCTTGTACATTAAGACTACTGACAAAATAATATTTTAATCAATGAGTTTCCTTTCCTTGTAGCCAAATTGTAAATGTGATTTGAGGAGTACAACAAATCGATATATAGCTGACTTGCTTTTTTCATTGTATTTTTTTTTTTTTTTTTTTTTATAATGAATTTAAAGATATTCTAAAATATAGCAAAAATTAATTTTTTTATTACAATTAGGAATTTTACTAAATATAAACTCTCAATCTATGGTGTTAATCAACGTTTAAGTCTAAAAAATTAGGAATTTTTACCTCTTTTAATCAACGTTTAAATCTAAAAAACAATAGAGTTATTATAAGTTTTTTTTTCTACATCTTTTAAAACATTAAATATGAGCATGTTAGGGCTAGTTTGTAAAATAATTAATATATTATCTCACTAAAATATTCATACTAATAAAAATTTAATTTTAGCATATAAATTTATCCCTTGATATAAGAGAAAGTAACAGTTTTACTTATTGCTGTTCACCATATAATATTTAATTATTATTTTATTATATAATAAAAAAAAAATATTGTTAAATAGTGTAGTAGAATTGTTATAAAATTATATAATTTTTTTTTTTACAAATGGATTTAATATTTTTTTATGATTTGATAATATAAACAAATCTATACTTAACTTTGACAAATAAAATAAATAAATACTTTAGTAAGCATTTTAATGTATATATACTAAATAGGAATATATTTGGTATAATCAAATACCAAATATAATCAAATTAGTTAAATTGTACATTTTTATTTGGTATTTGATTTTTTTATTATTAAAATCTTTTTATTATACTTACCTTTTTAAAATAAAATAATTAAATAAATCAATTAAATAAATAAAATATTATAATGCCAAAATAGTAATGGCATTTAATGCAGTTGACTTTTCTGGATAGCAAATATAGTAAATATAATCTCTTTTATATAAGTATAGATTGTATAATACGGAAATAGTAATGCAATAAATGTTGTTGACTTTTCTTTATACTAAATCTGGTAAATAGTATACCTTTTAATATAAGTATAGATATCTCAATATTTTTGGTATAACATAGTCTAATATGTGAAGTAACCACAGTGAATATTATGTACCTCAATATTTTTGGTATAACATAGTCATTATTGAAGGTAGGCATGCAATTGATCTCAATAAGTATCATGCTTAAGATTTTATCCGTGTATGCAATATTTCGATATAGAAAGTGTTATATTGAAAATATTTTATCTAATTATCAATAGTTTCCATAAATTATTTTTGGAATTATTTTATGTTCCCTTGCCAATACTTGTCAGTGAAATATATATTGGCGATTCACCACACTGAAACAATACTTCTCAGTACCCGTGAAAGAAAAGACATGCCCTCTACTTTCAACTCCATTGCTGAGATCACCACAGAAAAATAAACTTGAAAAATACGTGTTAGGTGTGAGCGAGTATGGTTTAATTTTATGAGAAGTCAACCCGATGTTCACACTGCAATGGAAATATGTGTTCTAGACGAGCATGTATTCTTTTTTTTTTTGTTAATTAACGTTATTTCACTATAAGAATTTTGTGTTTGTATTAAAACTTAATGAAGGTGTTATTTCTTTAGGGTGATAAGATTCAAGTCATAATTCCAAAATGGCGTATTATGAAGGTGGAGAATATTATTAAGGAAGGATCATTTTATGTACTAGAAAATTTTGAAATACTTCCAAATAATGATGCGTACCCACCAACAAAACACCCTTATGTTTTGAAGTTTCACGAGTGCACTGCTGTTAGGCCGTCGGGGATTCTCAATATTCCCCATTACATTTTTAATTTCGTCAACTTTAGCGAACTTGCGAATAATGCTGATTACTCTTTGCGCGTGTTTGGTATGTTTCTCAAAATTCCTTATTTTTTATTCGAACTATACATACATAATTTATATAAGTTTTCCCTCTTGGTGTGCTTTGCGATGACCATTAACAAGAGTCAAGGACAAACATTGTCTAACGTTGGGTTGTACCTATCTAAACCCGTATTCAGGTCAGCTTTATGTAGTTAAGAGCAGAAGAGGTTTGAAAATTCTTTGTTGCGACAATAATGGGAATATTGTAAATCGAACTAATAACGTTGTATACCGCGAAGTTTTCAAAATTTGAAATAGTATTACAATTTCTGTTTTTATGTTATTATTTATTTTTTATCTTTATTATGTATTTTTTTATATAAATTAATGTAGTTCTACCTTTTGTGAAACATAATTTCTTTTAATCACCCGTGTATTACACGGGTGTTGTACTAGTAATACTGTATTTCGTTTATCTCAACAAACAAGGATCATTGCTCTTAAATCACGGTAAGTCAATATCCAACGCCTCTCTCTCTCCTTGCATATATACACATGGTAAGTTAATATATCCTATTAATTACGAGTTTGTTCAATACAAATAGGAAATATTATCAATTTTAATTACAAACGACTTTTTCTTCTTGATATACACAAATCCCACAATACTGAAAACATATTTCGCCAAACACACGTATTTTTTACTTGTTGAATTTTTTTTTTTTTAACATCGCATCATGTTAATAGTGTATATTAAACGTATATATTCAGTATATGTTGCAATAATCTTCTATTATACGAAAATAAAAAAAGAAAAAAAACAAATTGCTAAAATCATGTATATTTACAGTGTATAAAACAAGTTGAAATCGTACTCATGTACATGTACTAAAAATATACTGTTGACCTTAACATATACTAAAAAACAGTATATTTGTCGGGAACATATACAGAAGATATAGTGTATGTTTGGATGCACTTTTGTAATGGACTTTTGACTATAAAAGTCCATGTTGATGTCGAAAATCGGACGATCAACCGTCAAATATAATACGAGTTGCGTGTATGAAATCGAAGAACAAAAAATGATAGAGAATCGATATTTTTTATTACGGAAGAAGATGAAAAACGGAGAGAGAGACATCCATCCTCCCCTACTCTCTCTCTTTCTCTTGTATTGTGGGGAAGGAAAAAATAAAAGTGAGGAGAAGACCCCACTCTTCCTCTTTTGGCATATATATATACATGGCCCTATTTTACAAGTGGGCTAATCAAATATATAGCAAATGGTACATTATTTAATGTGATACGGTTATCGTAGGACCCGCTTATGATTCTTGACGGCTTCGATTGACGTCGGTCTGAGGCGGCTTCTGATTTAATCGGTATCGAGAACCAGTTTGTATATTTATTTATTTCGTATTGTCGGCTCATTGATTATTTAGCCGTATTTTATTATTTCACTTATCAGATATTTAATTGGAGCCAAATTAGGTATCAACAGGAGGCCCCCGAGTTTAGGACATGTTCTGTTTGAACTGTCCTGAAGTCGCGTCTATTCTTGATAATTTGGCGATGTTTTCACCCCATGATCTTTTGAGCTTTGAGTTCTTTAAGTTGCGTAGGCTTTTACTTTATGCGTCTCGTGGACTCATTAAGTTTTTATCGAGTATTTTTGGTTACTCGGATCGTTATTTTGTTGTTTTCGGGCACTTTGGGCCCTTGAGCATTTTGTTGATCATTTTAGGCTTTAGCCCAACATATTTACGATAGTCACGCTTTAATCTTTGACGAATTAAGTCAGTTTGAGAGAATGGGCAATTTTGCGAATTCGCTATTGGATGGGGCCTGAGCGGCCTGGTCGGGTAATTTGGTACCCGTTTTTATGCATGAATGCATTTTGAATTGTCGACATGAGTGAGCGTAGAGCTCTTTGTCTGAGCGAGCTTTGAGCTTTTTTGTTCGACTGAGCCTTGAGCTCTTTATTTCTTACGAGACTATATGCATAATACGGTCACATGTGGAATGAGTGATTGTATGGTGAATGTATGGTGAATGTATGTGATGAATGTATGTGATGAATGTATGATGAATGTATGTGATGAATGTATGTGATGAATGAACGCACCTTGTCGCATATCTAGTTGGGCCGAATTACTTTTAGTTTTAGGGCACTTCGGCCTCATGGCTCGTAGGCCTTTAGTTTTACGGCGTTTCGGCCTTATGGCTCGTAGGCCTTTAGTTTTACGGCATTTCGGCCTTTTGGCTCGTAGGCCTTTAGTTTTACGGCGTTTCGGCCTCATCGGGCCCTTTGTCGAGTCCGGCTTGTGCATTTTATTGCACTAATGATTACGATGGCGCATTACCCATCCGATCCGCTCGTTGGGTCGGGTGGTGGTCTGGCCTGGCCGGGCTTCGTGATCGAGCTCAGCGCTTATTTATTACATTTTTTATGTTGGCGATTGTGGCCTGATCGGGCTACGTGATTGAGCCTGGCTTGGGCCGGCCGGGCCATCGCACTGAACCCGACCTGCGTGAATTTATTACTTGGTCGAGCCTCGTGATCGGGCTCGGCATTTATTAATTACTTTGGCGCGTTACCTGTCTGACTTGCTCGTTGCATCGGGCGACGGTCTGGCCTTGCTGAGCTTCGCGTTTGAGCTCGTTATTCATTTCTTACGTTGGCGACTTTGGCCTTACCGGGCTACTTTGCCGAGCCCGGCTCGTGCCGACCAGGTCATCGTACTGACCCGACCTGCACATAATTATGTGGCAGCTTACCTAACCGGTCTCGCGTTCGGACTCGGTGGTATTATTGGCCTGACCGGGCTTCCTAGTTGAGCCCGGCTAGTGCCGACTAGGTCATCGTACTGATCCTAGCCAACACTTCGTTCCTTACGTTAATTACGTCGCTTCGACTCGATCTAAGCCTAAGACGACCTAGCCTCTAAAAGTGAAAGGTAAATTACATTCTTGACCTAGCTCATCGAATAATCTATACAATAACGTCACTCATTGAGTGAGAATAGCCCAGACCTATTGGTAGGACTTCTTCAGAAGCGTCGAGTTTTATGGGTATTGATGGGCGCGTGCCGTCCAGGTGTTCAAGTCGGTAGGCCCCGTGTAGGAGGACGTCGTTGATTTGATATGAGAGTGGTCTGACTTGGGATTTGGCGTATCTCGCGTTTCGTCTGTTACATGCGGCGTTTATGAGCTCGGCTCATAGTGCTCGTCTGCGAAGTTGAGGCTTGCTCTCAAGGACTCGTTGCACCGGCAAGGTGTCGATAGGCCTGGTGGAGCTAGGGCTTGTCGGCGGTAGAGATAAAGATATTAATTTGGCCGAAGCGAAAGCAAGACGGCAGTGGGAGTAATAATTACATTGGCCGGCAGAGCAGGGGCTCGTTGGCAAGCAAGATGTGGGTGCCGACCTGGCCGAAGAGCAGGTTCGGCGGTAGTAGAGGTGGTAACGTTGACCCGGTAGAGCAGGGGCTCGTCGGCGGGCGAGATGTAGTTGCCGACCTGGAGAAGCGTAGGTCTAGCGACGATAGAAGTGAACATTGGCCCGGTAGAGCAGGGGCTCGTCGGCGGGCAAGATGTAGGTGCCGACCTGGTGAAGCGTAGGTCTGGCGACGACAGAAGTGATAACGTTGGCCCGGTAGAGCAGGGGCTCGTCGGCGGGCGAGATGTAGGTGCCGACCTGGTGAAGCGTAGGTCTGGCGACGACAGAAGTGATAACGTTGGCCCGGTAGAGCAGGAGCTCGTCGGCGGGCAAGATGTAGGTGCCGACCTGGTGAAGCGTAGGTCTGGCGACGACAGAAGTGATAACGTTGGCCCGGTAGAGCAGGACCTGCACATAATTATGTGGCAGCTTACCTAACCGGTCTCGCGTTCGGACTCGGTGGTATTATTGGCCTGACCGGGCTTCCTAGTTGAGCCCGGCTAGTGCCGACTAGGTCATCGTACTGATCCTAGCCAACACTTCGTTCCTTACGTTAATTACGTCGCTTCGACTCGATCTAAGCCTAAGACGACCTAGCCTCTAAAAGTGAAAGGTAAATTACATTCTTGACCTAGCTCATCGAATAATCTATACAATAACGTCACTCATTGAGTGAGAATAGCCCAGACCTATTGGTAGGACTTCTTCAGAAGCGTCGAGTTTTATGGGTATTGATGGGCGCGTGCCGTCCAGGTGTTCAAGTCGGTAGGCCCCGTGTAGGAGGACGTCGTTGATTTGATATGAGAGTGGTCTGACTTGGGATTTGGCGTATCTCGCGTTTCGTCTGTTACATGCGGCGTTTATGAGCTCGGCTCATAGTGCTCGTCTGCGAAGTTGAGGCTTGCTCTCAAGGACTCGTTGCACCGGCAAGGTGTCGATAGGCCTGGTGGAGCTAGGGCTTGTCGGCGGTAGAGATAAAGATATTAATTTGGCCGAAGCGAAAGCAAGACGGCAGTGGGAGTAATAATTACATTGGCCGGCAGAGCAGGGGCTCGTTGGCAAGCAAGATGTGGGTGCCGACCTGGCCGAAGAGCAGGTTCGGCGGTAGTAGAGGTGGTAACGTTGACCCGGTAGAGCAGGGGCTCGTCGGCGGGCGAGATGTAGTTGCCGACCTGGAGAAGCGTAGGTCTAGCGACGATAGAAGTGAACATTGGCCCGGTAGAGAAGGAGCTCGTCGGCGGGCAAGATGTAGGTGCCGACCTGGTGAAGCGTAGGTCTGGCGACGACAGAAGTGATAACGTTGGCCCGGTAGAGCAGGGGCTCGTCGCCGTACTGGATAACGACATCGGCCGGAGCAAGGGCTCGTCGGCGGGCGAGATGTGGGCATCAGCCTCGCCGGAGCAAAGGCTCAACGGCGGGCGAAGTAACGACGTCAGCCCGGCAGAGCAGGGGCTCGTCGCCGGACTGGATAACGACATCGGCCGGAGCAAGGGCTCTACGACGGGCGATGTAACGACGTCAGCCCGGCAGAGCAGGGGCTCGTCGCCGGACTGGATAATGACATCAACCTCGCCGGAGCAAGGGCTCAATGGTGGGTGAAACAATGCCGTCACAGCTCGAATGCCTCGTGACCTTCTGAGACTGAGAAGTGTTAGAGGAGCGGTCGTGCCTATCCCGAAGGCTTGCAGCAGACCTACTTCCCTAATCCTTCCCGTCTCGGTTCGACTTCCACGAAATAAGTTTCGATATGTATTTTTATTCACGTATATGTACGTGTATATGTATGTATATCTTTCATTTATTATTATTATTATTATTATTATATGCGTATATATATACACATATTTCCACTATTATTATTTATTTATTCTTTTATATATATATATATACACATATATATATGTATATAGACATATATATGTACATATGTATATGAAAATTTATGCACTAATTATATGGTTATTGTAACTTAAAATAATCATTTCTATGCACATATGCGTGCAGTACATATATATACTACTTATTGCCTGTTATTATATTATTACCAATTAGTATCAATGTAGCATCTCCTTTATTATCGCCCTTATTATTAGTATTATATTATATATGTGTATAGGCGTGTAATTGAAAAAGGGATTAGGGTACTCACAGTCACAGAGCTCAAACGTTTTTTTTTTCTTTCTCGCCGTTTTCCTCCAAATTTTTCATAGACAGATCGGCCCTTTGGAGTGAGCGTCGCGGGTCTGACAATTGGTGGCTCGACGATGGTAGCGACTGCTCGACGTCTGAATCCTAGGACGGCAGTGGCAACTCGGCACCCGCGCTAGGCCGGCGTCCTAATCTGGGCGGGTTTCGCTTCCTGGCAGCAATGAGATCGTCGCGGACAGGTCGGATCTGCCATCTCGTGGGGGTCGGCACGGCGATTGTGAGATCAGGGTAGGTGAGGACGGCGCCCACGATTCGGAGGCCCGATAAGTGATTTTGGGGGCGAGGTTGATGCAGCTGCGGGACCGATCGATTGGTGATTACGAGGTCGGCACTAGCAGTTACGATTGCGGTTGGTTGAGATTGGGTCCAACCTTGTTGTTTGATTTGAAACCCGGACTGTGGTTTGGGCGATTGTGTAGTTGCGAGCTCGTGTGTGGAGTCGAGGGTTTGAGATGAGCCCAGACTTAAAGGTTTTGGAGCCCGAGTCCGCTAGATTGCAGCTGTGGCGTTGGGTCGAGTTCGGCACCTGTGGAATTGGGCTACTGGCTGTGAGGGGTAGAGTCAGCCTGTGTTTTGAGGTCGGAGACCCGGTTGTGGAGTTGTGCGAGCTCGGCACTTGCGGTTGTGTGGTTGTGTTCAGCCCGTCGCCGGCGTGGGTGGATAAATTCAGCCGACTTGAATAGGTGTTTGTAGGTCGGGCTGGAAGAGATCGAGTATGTGGTGGGCTGCCTTTGAGGTTGACCCCGACGACTGATGTGCGATTCTGGCGACGCGAGGTCGGCGCCGGAAGAATTTCAGGCCCTTCTTGTCACGAGGTCGGCCCCGACGATGAAGTCGACTCGCGAGGTCGGCCCGACGACATGACGTTTGGGTCGTTGAGGTCTGTCCGGCGGCCCGATGTTGGCCCCGAGTTGAGGTCGGTTTGAGCCTGAACTGCGGCGATGCATTGGCTCGAAATCCGGGCTGTGTATTTTGATCGGGCCTTCGTGGTGTAGATTGGAGGTCGGCGCCGGCTGTGTGGCCGGCTCGTCGGTTTGATGTTGGTCCCGAGCCGAGGTTGGCTCGGCGGCGGTGGTGTGGGAGACGGTGAGGTCTGCTGTTGTGAGACCGGCGTTTTCTATGCTGGTTTTTATTTTCTCTTCATTTTTTTATTATTTTATTACTCAATTAATATGATGTGATATGAATAGTATTATACTGACAATAACAGTGTCATTCACGTGGCTCAATATTGTCCAAGCAAGTGGTATTTTTTGTTCATTTTTTATTCAATAAAAAAGAAAAGGAAAATGAAAATAGAAAGAAAGAGGAACTTTGCGTGAAATTCCAGCAGATCTTCATGGCCTCACCAGAAAAACAAGGAAAGAAGATAAAAATAGATAAGATTAGGAACTCTTGGGTGGGCCTTCTTTTTTTTTTGCAAAGAGTTTCATATCCCAGAATGTGAAAAATAACTTTTGATCCTTGTAAATTAAAGACTTGTAATAAAAAGAGAGGAAAAAGATTGGGGATTTTGTGATCTTCTTCTTTTTTTTTTTATTCTTGGGATGAGCATACATTTTACGTAGTGATGCATAACCAAGAGAAGGGGGAAAAACACAAATATAGAGAAAATCAGGATGGAATACAAACTTGATGGAAAATATGTTTTCCGATGGAGATGTGGCCGTTTTCCGGCGAAAATTAACTCCGAGCAAATTACGGAGCCCTTCCTCTAGCGCCAAACTGTTGATGTCGAAAATCGGACGATCAACCGTCAAATATAATACGAGTTGCTTGTATGAAATCGAAGAACAAAAAATGATAGAGAATCGATATTTTTTATTACGGAAGAAGATGAAAAACGGAGAGAGAGACATCCATCCTCCCCTACTCTCTCTCTTTCTCTTGTATTGTGGGGAAGGAAAAAATAAAAGTGAGGAGAAGACCCCACTCTTCCTCTTTTGGCATATATATATACATGGCCCTATTTTACAAGTGGGCTAATCAAATATATAGCAAATGGTACATTATTTAATGTGATACGGTTATCGTAGGACCCGCTTATGATTCTTGACGGCTTCGATTGACGTCGGTCTGAGGCGGCTTCTGATTTAATCGGTATCGAGAACCAGTTTGTATATTTATTTATTTCGTATTGTCGGCTCATTGATTATTTAGCCGTATTTTATTATTTCACTTATCAGATATTTAATTGGAGCCAAATTAGGTATCAACAGTCCATTTACTATATAAAAAGATGTTTGGTGTAGATAGCAAAATGGACTTTTAAAAAAGTAACTCCCACAAAAAGTCTATTTCAAAGAAGTATATATTGAAAACTTCTTGAGAAGTCACTTTTCAAAAAGTTCATCTTGAGATGGACTTCTCAATAAGTGTTTCCAAACAAGCCCATACTCATTGTATACAGTCGACATAAAAGAAAATACACAACAAATCAATGTTGTCATTACATACACAATATATACAGAAGATAAAACAAAAAATACATTCGGCCACGTTCGCCCAATCCAGCGACCGTACGTCTTAGCCCGGCCGAAGCTATTTTTCCTCCAGTAAGCCGCCACCGGTGGCCACCCCCACCACCTGATTCTTACTTCCCACCGCCTCTACCTTCTCCTCCTCCTCCCCGCCGTTGCCACCGGCGCTAGAGATATCCGAAAAAACTCTCTTCATCTCGTTCCTCTCCACCTTGTCGCTGCCGTGATCGCCTCCGGGAAGCCCCAGCCTCAGCTCCGCTTCATGTCCGAAAACGAAAACATCTTTTTTCTCTTTCGTTGATTTTTACTTTCTATCGAACGAAATTAAATTAAAGATTCGACCTTTATATATATGTGTGTATGTGAATGAGAAGAAAAAACAGAGTCAGATCGAAGGTGAATGAGAAGAAAAAACATAGCAAGAAGAAGAAGAGAGAGAGAGAAAGAGATTGCCTGAGAGGAAAAACAAATTCCATTAAGTTTGGAAGGTGATAAGTCACTTTTAATTACGGTGACTTAATTATCTGGTAATTTTGTAATTATAAAGGTGAGATCTTGTATATTTGCTAATATTTGCAATAAGGTTTCATTTATGTAATTAAAACTAATATATATTGTTCGTGTGCAGTAGAACTTGGAAAGAAGCAAGCAGCCAAAGACTTGGAGTGGGAGGGACAAATGCCTTTATTGATCTAGTAAATGAGGCCTAGTGTGACTGCGTGAGTGTGACAACTGAAAAGCAATTGAGACGGGTTCAAATATTTAATGGGTCAACTTTACTCGAGTCTGAGCCATTTTTTTTTAGCTGGCCCAATTACCGCATACAATGCCCATGTTGATCAACTACTGGCTATTCATTGCTGTGTTGGTAAAAAGGCTTGGCTCCTTTCACACAACACAACAGAACCGCCATAGCCGAGACAGCTGAAAAGCAGAGAACACTCTACAAACAATGATAAAGAGAAAGCTCTCTCCCTCAAGGCTCAAAAGGCTTCTTTCTCCATTTTTTCTCACTACGTATACATCCCCAAACACTCTTCGCCCGCCAATCAGACAACTTTCACCCCCAAACCCTTTTAAAACCCTCCCATTCACCTTTCTGGCAAAGCCCTTCTCGTCACAATCTTTGAAAAATCAATCTTTTCCAAAACTTCCCCTTACAAGGGATGGAAACTACGAGGAAGACCCCCAACAACCCTTCCCCATCTGCCCCGGCTGTGGAATCCGAATGCAAGACATTGACCCCAAACAGCCGGGGTTTTTCATCGAGCCCGCAGCCAAAGGCCCGAACTATAAGAGATTCAGGAAAATGGTTCCCGTCCTCGACGATTCCGAAATCTCAGATTCCATCAAGAGGGGATTCGCGAACGAGATCCTGGACGTCCGGGGACTCGAGAAGAATCCCGAAACAGAACATCAGGTGTTTGAAAAAATGCCCCAGAAGTTTGAAAGCCCGATAAACAACAGCGGCCCGGATGATAGAAGGACTAGTCAGCTGCCCGTTGTCTGCGCCAGGTGTCACAGCCTCAGGCACTACGAGAAGGTGAAGGACCCGAGTTTGGAGAACTTGCTGCCTGATTTTGATTTCAACCACACTGTTGGGAAAAGGCTGGTGTCAGTGGGTGGGGCCCGTACGGTGGTTTTGTTTGTAGTTGATGCTGTCGATTTTGATGGTTCATTCCCCAGAAAAGTGGCAGATACACTGTACAAGGCAATTGACGAAAATTTAGGATCATGGAAGGAAGGGAAGTCCGGGAATATACCTAGGGTATTGTTAGTAGTGACAAAGATCGATCTTTTGCCGAGCTCCATTTCGCCTACAAGGCTCGAGCACTGGGTTCGGGCGAGGGCTAGGGAAGGTGGGGCTTGGAAGATAACGGGTGTGCATTTGGTGAGCGCTCTTAAAGAATGGGGCGTAAGGAGTTTAGTTGATGATGTGGTTAAGTTTGCCGGGCAAAGAGGGAATGTATGGGCTGTGGGGGCCCAGAATGCCGGAAAAAGCACGCTGATTAATGCCATTGGGAAATGTGCTGGCATGAGAGCTTCCAATTTGACTGAGGCATCTGTTCCGGGGACAACATTGGGGATTGTCAAGATGGAAGGTGTTCTTCCAGGGAAAGCTAAGTTGTTGGATACTCCAGGGCTTTTGCATCCTCATCAGGTTTCGACTAGGTTGACATTAGAGGAGCAGAAGCTAGTTCGTGTGGATAAGGAGTTGAAGCCCAGAACGTATAGGATCAATGTAAGTCGTCCATTTTGATGTTATTTTTTTTGTTTAATTTGATTTAATGTGCTTTGCTGATGTGTTATGCTATCCTGGGGATGAGTAGAGTGACTCAATGATCGTGCTCGACTCTTTAATGCTGTAAATTTCTTAAATATTTAATGGTGTCTCCTTTTGGGTTCGTGTATTGAAGCGTAAGAGGAATTAAGAGAAAACAATATGGAACTTTTGCATCTGATGCGTACATATTTAAAACCGGCTTTGGTTTTTTGAAAACATAAAAGATTGAATTAGCACATGCATAAAAACTGGAATTCTGAGTGAAATGTACGGGATATTGTTCAATTTATTTTTCTAAATATATATGTTTGTGTCATTGATTTCTAGATATTTAAATTATCTTCTATTGTGTGGTGTTGGCAGGTAGGACATTCTGTTCATATTGGTGGGCTCTTAAGGTTGGACTTTGAGAAATCTTCAGTAGATTCTATTTATGTTACAGTATGGGCTTCCTCTGTGCTACCTTTGCATATGGGGAAGACAGAGAATGCTTCTAGAATGCTGGAAGAACATTTTGGCCGTCAGTTGCAGGTATAACATGCTATACCCGAAGTGTCGTTCTATGATGTGGTATAAATCACTCGTGTTTTTTGTTTAATTCTTACCCATGTCATGTCAACTTGACTGCACAAGAAAACAGAAAAAGTCAGGGCTTTGTGAGGGTTTACTATGTTAGTTTGGGGTGGAATTGGATGTGAAACTAAACTTTACTCTGAACAGTCTGTGGTCTTCAGGAGTTGGCATCTTTTGAACTACAACAATGAATACCAATCAGCCTAAACACTGTATTGAACTATGTTTTGCTCGAACAGACAGAATCTTCCTTTTCTTAATATGGTCTCCTCAGAGTTTATCTGGTTTTACTTTCTTTATGGTTTTGAGGATCAAGATGCTTAGAAATTTTATAAATTACTAATTGTTGATTTTGCTTGGGTATTTATCTTTTCTATTAACCTTATTTTTGTTTTTTTGAAGATCCTATAACAGTGTCTTTAAAAATACGCATCATTATTTATTTGCAGTGTCTCTTAAAGTGATTATTATTATTATTATTATTTTTATTTATTTATTTATTTTTTTGCGGTCAGTTGAAAAACAAAATCCATGCTTACCATCCCATATTTTCAGCCACCAATTGGTGCAGCGCGAGTTAAACAGCTCGGAAGGTGGGTAAAAAAGGAATTTCTCATTAACGGCGACACATGGAATTCGAGCTCGGTTGACATTGCAGCTGCCGGGCTCGGTTGGTTTGCCATTGGACTCAAAGGAGAAGCTCAATTGGGCATTTGGACATATGAAGGAGTCGATGTTATTGTTCGAAATGCTTTACTTCCTCAAAGGTCGCGCAATTTTGAAGTGGCAGGTTTCACAGTCTCAGAAATCGTGTCCAAAGCTGACCGACCAAGAAACAAGCAGCGCCAAAACTCAAAAAAACTGAATACCGGCAACTTGGCTAATAAAGACTTGAGTTCTAATGACTCGTCGTCAATAACGCCCAATTCCAACTCCTCGTATTCCACTCCATTGATTGTAAATTTCGACACAGGTTTGAATCTGGATGACCCAAGTTCAGCCTGCCAGGAGCCTTCAGCTTCATGACTGAGTGTGCATGTGAATTCAAGATTAAAGAAAAACAAGATTTTGTTTTTATTATGAAAAATGCCCCCGAAGTGTTGCAATTGTAGAAAAGGCGTCTCTATCTTTCGAAATCGCTAATAATCCTCATAGGTTGTTACGAAGCACTTTCCTTGTGTTTTTAAGGGGTTATTTGCGATTTTGGAATGTAGTTGGGTTATCTTTGTAAACCGTTATTTCTGATTTTGGAATGCAGTTGGGTCATCTTTGTAAACCTTTCAAGAAAAGCTTTTCCGGCCCCATGAGATGGCTATTTCTCGAAGTTTTTATGATGCGATTTGTTTTCGGGCTCAAGAAACAGAATCTTCAGGGGCCATAATACTCTTTGAGTGGTGGTGTTATCAATTGTGTAATGCATGATAGTTTTCATTAGATCTCGGGTTGCAAATGGATGTAAACAGAATCTTCAGGGTTTCATATATACTCGACTTATTCACTGGTAAACTAAGTTTGGCCGTTTCTAATTGATTGATTGACCTTTATTATCCGTAAATATTCTAATTGATTGATTGACCTTTATTGGCTATCGAATTTAAACTAAAATCAAAGGATGTTCCTAGACAGTTGACTGGTATAAATATTAATTTTTTTTAGCACTTTCGCTACATAGTGATATTATGACAAGATAATGTCATTTCGAGTTATGATAATCTTTATTCAAGAATTACATCGGCTATACTTATATATTTCATGTCGAAAGTTTTTTTCAACATTCTTTTCGTATTTATGATCACTTCATGACAACTCTACATGATCAATATACCATCTACGTAAAGACATACAATTACAAATGTATTAGATGGACTCTTAAAATAAACATATTTGCAACGTTCGTTGATTTTTAAACCATTTGACAACATACATCATCAAATTCAAATTCCATTGTTCGGAACTTGGTTCAGTCCGTACAAGGATTTGATCAATTTACACACTTTTTTTTTTCTCTTTTTTAGGTGCTACAGAACCTTCGGGTTGTTTTATATAAATTTCTTTAGCCTCTTCACCATTCAAAAATGTCATCTTGACATCCATTTGGTGAATATCAAGATTGTGCAAAGCAACAATCAAGAGAAACACTTTTACTGACACTACGCGTAACCGATAAATATGTATCAAAGAAGTCATACTCTTTGTTTTTTTTTTTTCGGTATAATAAAGGAGGCCGACAGCCTAAGGAAGAAATATTAAGCTTGAATCCGGCGGGTGTAAGACACCCTCATAATGTCGTGGTCAAGCCAGGGTCCCAGTCCGACAGGTGGTGAAGAGAGTCGTTGCAAACCGATCGGGGAAGATAACGCCAGACTCGCCATAAGATCAGCTGCGAAATTGGCCTCCCTATGCACATGTTGTATCCTAACACTCCATTCCCATCGAACCAAAGTACGAATGGCTAAGACTATTGTTGCATGGGGCCCGAGATTGTCCCTGGCACCAAGGGTCAGCTGGGTAACGCACTTGCTATCCACCTTGGCAATAATCTGTCGAAAACCCCGATCCCAAGTCATCTGTAAGCATTGCAGAAGACCCTACAACTCAGCCCCCGTGATACTGCAATACCCAACATGCATGATAAACCCTCCGATCCATGTTCCCTCTTCGTCGTGAAGCAGGCCACCGGCACCACTAAGGTCCGTGGGGATATCAATAGCGCCATAAGTATTAAGCTTTATCCATCTTGCTTCCGGTGGATTCCACTGTATCATGTGAGTGACATGGAATAGCCCCCACCTGCGCGTAAGCCGCCTCTGCTCGGCTGTAACTTTCGGCTAGCTGAAGAATCTCCAAGCTCCGTGCCTCACAGCTATGGACTCGTTGGGCGAAAATTCGATCACTCTTTGTTTTTGTTAAAAAGCATTTAACTACCAAAAATGCTTTAAACTAAATTTTTCGTCCAATCGGCTTCATATTTTTTCTTTAGGATCTACTTGCATCCTAGAGATTCACAACCCGAAGGGAGATACCAACTTTCAAGCATGATTTACATAATTGACTTGATTTTGCTATTTATAACTTTTTCACAGAGTGTTCCATCTGGGCTAGACAAAACTTCCTTAATGGAACTCGGTTCATCGTTCGATATATACATAATAAAATCAGCTCTAAACATTTTTGCCATTTTTACCATTTTGCAATGTCTCAATTTTTTATCTTTTCTTCAGGTGGTACAGAAACGCTAGTAGTTCTGTATGCCGTTTTATTAGAGCTAGATTCAGTCTTTTCCTTAAGAGAAAAAAATATTCTGAAGAATATATCATTCCTTTACTCAATTGTAATACCAACAGATACCTTCGTATTTTTCGATTTACAAACCATAAATCCATATGTCGTACTGTTGTACGCACCAATCAATCAATCAATCAATTAAGAAGCCGTTAAATCCTACAAAGTGGGGTCGATTATATGGATGACATGTTGTCATCGTGTTCGATCAAAACAAATATCCCCATTAGGTCTAGCCCTCCATATTTTAATTTGTTTGGGTTCAGGAACAGAAACCACAGACAAACACCCCTACACTTTTAGGCATTTATAAGATGACTTATAAATTTTTCACATTTCATAAAAGCCTCATTTTTTTCCTTTAAGTGATATTTTATTCAGTATATGATTTTCTATTAAAACAATTTCCCCTCATATGTTTTGAGGTAATCCTGGATTTATCAACATAACATTCATCATTTCTTTTAATTTTCGGTTCATGTGTTCAACAACACCGTTCGACTGCGAAGAATAGTGGGTCGTCGTTTCATGAATTATGTCATGTTTAGAACATATTTGTTGAAACGAAGCTACATACTCCCCACGCCTATCGTTTCGAATTATTCTAATGTAATGCATTATTTTCAATTTAATGTAGGGACTTCTCAAAATCCAGAGCACAAATCGAAGAAAAACAAAAACTATTTATGGTGAACCATATGAAGGCCCCAACTGAAGGCAATAACGACCTATCATATTGTTACATTTAAGCACTACATGTATCTTTTTCAAACTCTATGTGTTTTTATTTTGGAGAAATTTAGTTTCCCTTTCTAGACTTGATGTTCTTAGATTTTTCTTTATGTTTGACATGGATGTTTCAATTTATTTGATAAACTTAATTTCTTGATTAGTTTTGGAATTTTTATTGGTGGTTTATATAAATAGAAACTTAATGTTAATGTGTGCTCAAAATATTGGACTTAAACGTGATGTAATAAATGAGAACTCTACTTGTTCCATAAACATTTGGGGTCATGTATCGAAAGAAAAAATGTAAAGGTTGGTGAAAGACGATATTCTTTCGAATCTAGATTGTACAGATCTTCTATTATGTGTGGATCGAATTTAGATTTGGGGTCATGTATCAAAAGAAAAAATGTAAAAATTGGTGACAAACTTAGTTCATCTTTTTAGAATGGAGTGTAAATAACTATTTCCTCTAGTTTATCATCATCAACTTAAACCACACACGTTAATGTTCTTTACATAACCAAACATATAAAGCTAACAACTGCAAATCTATTATTGCAACCAAACCCATCTTTTTATTATATAAATAAAAAATAAGGTGGATATATAACTTTTATTTTCTTAAAATTAATTATTTTATTTTGCAATTGACTCTCCAGTTGGAGGACCAGTCCTCACTATCCCGACCAAGTTTGTAAACAATGTAATTGCCAAATATATTCTTGATTTAGATCATAGCTATTTTTCCGTTTATCCAAATAATTTGTCGGAGATCAGATACGTCCAGATGGAAGCAGCCAGCAGTAATAATGGTAGTGATGCCAAGTCACCTCTGCTGTGGAAGCGCGGTAGCAGTGGGCGCAGCCGCCGTGGTCTCAGTCGCCGGAATTCTGTAAACTCACTACGCAGCGATTTCATTTCCAGGCTTCCAGATAAGGTCCGGGCAGCAGTTGACCCGAAGACCCCATCAGCTGTTCGTCTTTCGTCAATTCAGGGTTTAAGTGGAGGTAATTAACTCAGCTCTGTGTGTTTTTTTTGTATGTGTTTTTTCCGCTTTTATACCGTTGTTATGTGTGTGCATAGTATTATAGTATATACCTCTTGTCTGATTCTTGTAACTGTAATTAGTTATCATTATTTTTTCTTTATAAGCAATTAAGCATGATTCTCTCTCATTCTAAAAAAAGGTGGAAAAGGTAATTATTCGGTGCATGTTTGCTCTGGAATTGGGCTTTCGGAACTTGGACTAATATAGTCTGTTGGTTTTGGTAAAGGAAAAAAAAAAAAAATGTGCTTTTGGGGCGCTTTTCCTGCTTGATGATCAACATATTTGATTGTCAACTGTGCATACAGTATTATATCATGATTTTTGGTTAAATGTCCTAATTTGAAGAAAGAAATAAATACGCCATATTTTGGGTGTGATATTGATTCGATTTTCAATTCTGTTTCCGTGTGGGTGGGGAATTTTGCTACTTTTTTCGAAAGGGTTGCAGGAAGTGATTGAAAATTTAAGTTATTTGTAACTTTTCTGGTATTTATACCATTGCTGTAGGAGAAAAGGATTATTACGAAAGACAATTTGCCACCTTAAAGTCATTTAAGGAAGTTGATTGCGTGGTGTCATCCGATGGTTTGGACGAGGAGGATTTGGAAGAGCAATCACAACACGAGAGAGCTATGAGGATATCCAATTATGCAAATATTTTGCTGCTGGCATTTAAAGTGAGCTCTTTCTTTTGAAATGTTACCCTGATGAATTCCTTATTTTTTTTTCTTCTATTTGAGAAGATATTATAAT